ATACATATATAAGCTTCTCCTTATATATAAAAAGAAGATAAATTATATTAATTTATTAGAATAGAATTCTATTTTAAAATTACATTCAAACTATTAAGTCAACATATCATTTGAAATCCAAAATATATTTAAATAAAGTTACAATACTTCTATTATTAATTAAAATCAATTAGTAATGAATTCAAGTCAATTAATAATAAATTGAAGTCAATTGGTGATGAATCCAAGTTGATTGGCAATGAATCCAATTCAATCAACAATGCAATGGAGGGAAGTTATGAAGCATAAACAACATAAGAAAAATAAGTACGGATGTTATAATTAATATTTTTTTAATTTTTTTAATAGCACATATTTATACTTGTGCCTTTAATATATTCAAATTGTGAAAGAAAGCATTGTGTAAAGTGTAGATTTGTCTTATTTTTTGAGCTACAGAAACAATCTCTTGAATTTTTTATTGAAGGATTTTTTACATCCATGGTCATTATTGCAAGCTCCAAAAGCTTCTTATACACTTTATATTATTGGTGGAATATAATAAGTTCATATGTCTAATTAAATTTTTTAAAATTAAGATCTATTATGATAATAGCAACAATTCTTCTTGAAGTAGATTCAACCATCAAAAGTAGAAAATTCACCAAATAATATTGGCTATAAAAATTACTAGCCATCAAGTCTTTTTTGTAATATAACATCTTCTTAATTTGATATTGATAAGAAAGTTCAAGTGTAGTTGTAAATGTGCTTGAATATGGACTACTGTTGGTATCTAAGGTTGTTATAACAAACTAAAATTACTTTAACATAAGATTAAAAGCATGCATTGATACCTTCATAACAACACTTTTAAAAAAATTGATGTTATAATAGTAGCATATACTCAAATTCTCAAAATTCTCTTATGACTTAATTGCCTTTATATATATATATATATATATATATTATTAAAAAAATAAATAGAAAAATTTCTACATCTCAAAGATCTTTTATAAAGACTTTGATATTTGTCTTTAAAGTAAAATGTGGCCTTTTTATATGTAATATGGTCATTCAATTAAAATAGAGAGTATTATTCATCCAAAATTTGACAAATTTTTCTATGTGAAAAATCCATGTTTTTTGAAAATATGCAACTTTATTTATAGGAGCAGAAGCAAACATGGTATAGAAGTTTACTTATTTTATGTCAAAAACTTCTTTTAATGAAGAATTCACTACCTTGGTCTATTCTATAAAAAAATCAAATCAACCACTGTCTTCATTAGGTAGAAAATATTTCTTGAAATTGGCTAATATATTTTTTTTGAATGTACCAAGTTCAAAGTAAAACCTTAGATGTAGAAAAAACATCTTTGATGGCATTTATAAATGCCAAGTCACTATCAATGCTAATATTGATGGGCAGCAATGGTCCATATAGTAGAATAAGTTACATCATCATCCAATATAATAATAGTTGTGTTTCTTCTTAGAGAAATATAATCTTTAATTTTAAAGGATGTATTTAAATTTATAATACTTACAACATGCAACATGAACATTTAAAATTTGTTTGTTTTATATGTGCAATTGATAACTATGTTAAATAGATATATTTTTGGAAGTTGTACATATCTATAATGAAAAAGAAATGAACAACTAATATTTATTTGTTTCATCACATTTGTATATGTAGCATCATAAAGATTTTCCATTCAAATATATATAGACAAATGGCCATGATGATGAGCTTAATGAAGATGTTGATGCTTATTAAAGATAATATGTACAATCACCAAACTTGTAGAATCTTCTTGGTGTAGTATAATAACAACATTCCTTGAAGCTATCTTTGCAATAAGTATTTAATGACATTTATCAAGTTGGAAGTAACAAGCAATTAAATATTTTACTAGCAACAGTGATTGGCCATGATTATGAATTTCATTTCAAACAAATAAGTGCTAGTGTTTGTCTATATACAAATAATAAGAATATAATTCAAATTGACAACTTATTAGTTGTATGGCTGAACTATGTTGCAAAAGTAAATTTGCTTCAGATCCATTGTAAATGCAACCTTTGTCACACTTAAATGTCATACTTAAATATGACACAGTTTTTATTAAAATAACATCAACAAATTGCATAATCCTATGTATGCTGAAATCAATCTAGGCATTTTTGTATGTCTTCTTATATGTCTTCAAATGACCTCTTTGATAGAGGATCTATATTGAGCATGTTTTCTATTTTGGAATAGAACAATTTCAAAGTGGCTATTGCTTCCTTCCTTAGATTAAAGATAATATAGTAGACAATTGTAAAACTCAGATTGTAAAAGTATAATATGATAGAAGTAAATTGCGTAATTTTTTTTAAAAATGATGAAGTGGGCAACATAAATGTTATAAATACATATGATTATATTGTTACCATTTATTGTAGCTATCAAATTTTAAGTGTTTTATCAATTATTTTTTTATGGATATATTATTTTTATATACATATTTATCATGAGTAATCCAATCAATCTTCTAATGATGTTTATAGAGACAAGTTGCACCTTGACAATCTATTTCCTAATTTTGTTTTTATTTAGGTATTATTGTAATCAAATAATGATATATTTTTTTGTGATTCCAATGATAAGTATGTTAAATTAATTGTTAGTAAAGTTGATTTAATATTTTCATATATATATATATATATATATGATTTAATGCATCAATATTTTTCATTAATTTTTTTAAATTTTTTTCTTGTATTGTAATTTAATTTTGTATTGAAAATTAATTTTTAATTAGAACAGTTATATATAAAAAAAATACTACAAGTATTTACTTCAACAATTTGTTTACATAATTTTTGAATACTGTGTACTCATGTTAAAATTATGTTAGTCAATAAATTATGTTTACTTAATTTTCTTCATTCTACTCAATTCATAATTTATTTAATTCTACTTAAAAACTATTTACTAATTAGTTTAAATTATGTTTTTATCATTTTAAAAGTTGTAAAAGTGCCATGTGGTTAAGAAACAAACTTGTTTGGATTCCCAGTAATTGTGATTCTATATTATTAATGATGTTTGAATTGTATGTATATACACATAATAAAACAAATTGTACTATGAAATAAATTTTACCATTCTGCTGTGTTACTGTTTTTCTTTTTTAAATGATTGTGTTGTGCTCAAATAATGTTTTACTGATATTTAACTTGAAAACTTGAAGCAATATTATTATGTATGTTTTAACAGAATAAATTTATTAGTATCAATATAGTTTTTGACATAATGTTTCAAAACAAATAGTTTTGTGGTTTGTTTTAAGTTCAATGAATTTGTTCAATGAATAAAATCTGTTTTTTATTTGTTTATATAAATGTTCTCTTTAACTTTTTGCACACCAATATTTTTTTTAAATTTTTCCTTTTAATTCCTTGCAAATATTACAAATTCCTTACTATCTGTGCCCTAACAGCACAAACTAAAGATAGTAAAATAACCAAAACTTTTATTCTGAAAAATATGAAATGGTAATGATTTTTTAAGTATATTTTAGAAAGAGAAAAAATGTGTGATACAATAAAGTATAATTTTTAGTAGATTTATTAAATTATTATTGTCTTAATGAGTGATCACAATAGAAATCAGTAATTTCTACATGTGTTTGTATGTTTGATTGTTTGTTTTTTTTTTTATTTTATATGTTGAATTTATCTGTACAAAGAATAACCCTAACAGTTGTGATTGAATGTATTTATTACTATTGTATTGTTGATGCAATTCACTTCTTGTTGTTAGATAATCCAGGTTTTCTTTTCCTTTTTCTTGTTTTTTTCCTTTTCTTTTTGTTTGTTTGGAAGTTGTGTAAATTACTCTTTTCATCTGTTATATGATGACATTTTAATTTTTAATTTTTTTCTTCAACGTCAGTTTCAGTTTTTTAACTTTTTAATGTTTGGAGTTCAATGAATTTTATAAGACATTTTAATCTACTTTTATAGTCATAGATTGCATTCTAATTCTCTACATCTAAAATGCAGTTTAAGAAATTGCTCCTTCGTTATCCTTCAAAGTTTATATGATTGAGGAATGCATGTTGAATAGCATGGGTTATTATTTCTGTTCATAATAAGGATTTAAACAGTGACTACATACTTATAAACAGAAAAGTTCATTCTTGGACAAACAGTTACATTAGCAAAAATGTTTTGATGTTTTCATATATACACATATATATGTATATTAAGATCAATTTTGGTTTTTTAGATATTTTAAAAGATTTTGATGGTGACCCAATTTATTTTTATTTCTTTCAAATTTATTCAACTAATAAGGCAATTTAGATTTGCATCTCATATCTACAATGTAACTAGTCCTTTAATCACTTAATGGAAAAATCACAATATAAAATATGATCATTGAACATGATTACTTGAACACTGTGTATCAGTGCTTGGAAATTTGATTGATTAAGTTTCATATGGTATCAGAACCATATATATTTATGTATTAGAATAAATATATTTACAACTGAAAAATGTTTATGAAAATATGTACAACCTAAACTATAGAAAAAATTGAAAATTAGCAAAGGAGTGGGTTAGTTCCACTCCAAAAACCGCCAATTGATGACACGAATACATCTGTGGATTTGGCCGGCTGCAAGAGGCCACTTCGATACCAGTGTGAACAGAACCAAAAACACAGACCCAAAGGGCCAGCTCGATGCCAGTGTGAACAGAGCCCAAACAACGCGTCATCCATCACAAGTGGCTGAACAGCTGGAATGAGAGACATAATTCATCCACACACCCATTCATCCATTCGTCCCAACACACCTGTTGCATCACGAGGCAAGAGCATCACATCCGGGATGCGCAGACTGCATTAACGAATGAGGGTAGTCGTTAAGTAATGGATGAATGAATTAGTCGGGCGGGTCTTCCCTGCCAGAGAAGAGATCGAGGGACTTGCTTTGCTTTGCGTCGCTGGTTGGTAAGAGCCCTTTTCTTCCCGAGCTCGATTTGATTTTAGTGGCCTTGCACTTCGCGGTCGCGCTTGGTTTTGGATCTCTTGGTATTGCACACGCTAACTGTTTCTACCCCGCTTACGCTCTCTGCCTCCCTCTCTGCGTGCTTGAAAGACCCCGTAGTGTGTGTATTCCTCTCTCTTTATTATTTTGTTTGTTTGTTTGTTTGTTTTTTTTTTCGTTTCCAATTTTGTGGATTGTAGGTCTGTCTCGAAGTTCCCGTTCGGTGATTTGTGGTTTCGGAGGACTTGAAGGCAGGGTTTGAGTGCGTGAAAAATTTAAGTATTTCACGTTTGGGGATAGCATTTGGTGTTTTCTTGCTGGAATCTGGGAGTGATCTGATCTGCTTGCTTGTTAGCTATGAATCCAGCGTCTTTGTAAATCGAAACCTAGGTCGGGATGCAAGTTATCTCCGGGAAGTTTTTTGTTTCCAAGGGTTGTTTCCCTGAGCCTCTGTGTGTTTTGCCACTGATGAGGATATTTTGGTTATTTAAGTGCAGAGTATTGGCCTTTTGTCGGCACCGGGAAAAGAGGAGAGGGCTCGGAGATTGTGCCGGGTTGGATCTGTCTCTAAGGAGTGGCAGGCTGTAACTAGCGTCATGGCCGCAGGTGGATCAAGAGCCCGAGCCGATTACGATTACCTCATCAAGTTGCTGTTGATTGGCGACAGTGGTATGCATTATGTGCCTTGATTCTACGAGGGAAATGGAGTTCCGATTATTGCGTGTAGTTTACTCCTTGTTTTTTTTTCTGTTGCTTCGACCGTAGCACAGACTACATTCTGGTGTTCTTGTTGCTGTATGGGAGCTTGGTCGGAATGATTTTTTCGAAATTCAAGTGTGGGAGATGACATCCTTTTGGAAGTGTGTATACACACAAGCGTACCACCAAAAGATTCTTTTCAGCTGCTCTACCGTAGCATATGATTTTTGATGCCGCATTTTCAATTTCCTACTCCTCGAGAAGGATTTTGACCCCAAGGCCGTTGTTGCTTCAAGATGTTCCACGCTTTGCCTAACTACTAGTAGTCACGTGACAAGTACATTCTGTCTTCTTCGAAATCTATGATCCGCCTGTGATATTTGACTATAACGAAGGAAGTTGTGAACGAGTTCGGATGAAGACGAGATCGTTTGCCATGTTTGCTGACTGGCATCCTGGTTTGATTCTGGATTAGGTCTTTAGCTAGTAGAGAAATGCTTTCCTGGGTTTGAGTAAGTGCATGATGTGATGCAGAATTTTATGATTTGGACACCGTGTTGCTACCGGTCGATGTCGAGGCTTTTATGTCATATCAACGTCAACTTTATCACACCAAAGTTGAATATTACGTTGCTCATTTGCAGGGGTTGGGAAATCTTGTCTTCTCCTTCGTTTCTCGGATGACTCCTTTACTACAAGTTTCATCACCACAATAGGGTAAGCTCTCTTGGATACAAAGCTTCTGAACCATTTCTTTCTTTATAGAAACATTGTTTAATGAAACACTTTGATGGTTGCGGTGGAGCATTGAGAGGGCATTGAGGCACTCAATGTTCATTCGGAGTTTTTAATTGGAGGGCATCCGACAGGATTGACTTCAAGATACGGACCATCGAGCTGGATGGGAAGCGCATCAAGCTTCAGATATGGGACACGGCTGGACAAGAACGTTTCCGCACAATCACAACAGGTGGTCATTGCTGCACATAATGGCCGTGAGCGTATAGTTTGGTGGTTTTCTTCTGAAATTTAAAACATTGCACGTAACCTAGTCAGTTATACCTTACCGATCAAGATGATTGTCTTTGCACACGTGGTATGAGGATGCCGAGAAAGGCTGCGACTATATGAAAATGCAATTATAGAGTTGACTGGCGTACTTGGTACGCAATTTTTACAAGGCTTAAATTTTAGTCAATAATGACTTTCTTGGTACGGGTTTCTTGTTGGTGTGCAGCTTACTACAGAGGTGCCATGGGAATATTGCTGGTATACGATGTAACGGACGAATCTTCATTTAACAGTATCCACTGTGCAGCGATCCTTGTTGCTGAAATTAGCTATATGTGACAAGTATGTGCGGGTTTGCGGTGAGTTGTAATGAATGTGATGTGAAGAGCTAGATTTATATTGGTAGTGTATCCATAACTCCGGTGTGATCAGATATTCGGAACTGGATCAGGAACATCGAGCAGCATGCATCTGACAATGTGAACAAGATCTTGGTTGGAAACAAAGCTGATATGGACGAGAGCAAAAGAGTAAGAAACTCACACTCTAATTAGTTTCTAGTGCTTTTCGTATTAGCAGTCCCTGTTTAATGGATTTTATTTATTTATTTATTTATTTTGGTTCCGGAAGGATATGAGAACAGTGGCGAAGCGTTCAATGCTACCATACAATGTTTTAAACAGAAGTCACTATCTACATATTAACAAAATATATATTGTAAATTTATGGTCTTTGACACATTTTTGAATGTGAAGAGTGCCAGCTGATTTAGGTATCCAAGCCGATCTTGTAACTTGTGCAGGCTGTCCCAACTGCCAAAGGTCAAGCCCTAGCTGATGAATATGGCATCAAGTTTTTTGAAACTGTAAGCCCATTCATCTTTGCCCTACATAAACCATTTTCAACAGTCTATGTTGTGACAAGTATAGGGAGTTCCATGATGAAAACTGTTCTTTTGATTTCAGCTCGACCTTGCTGATGCAAAGTTAGCATGTACAAATGATTTTTATTCGATACAAATGTCTAATCTTGGTGGTGGCATGTGACCTTATTCTCTCCCTCCAGAGCGCTAAAACAAACATGAACGTGGAAGATGTTTTCTTCACAATTGCAAGGGACATCAAACAGAGGTTGGCTGAGACTGATTCGAAGCCTGAGGTGAGGTTTACTTTCTCATGGAATTTTTTTTCTAAGTTTTTTTTCAATTTGTAGCAAGTGACTTGCATTAGCTGCTGTGCTTTTGCATTCATCTGGGCCCGTTATTTTCCTTTGGCATCGTACACTTAATGTACCGTGTCTTAAATGGGTTCGTCATTTAACTCGGTAGTAAAATGTGGGGTTGTTTTTTCGTAGGCTGCTAAGAATGCAAAGCCAGATGTCAAGCTTCTTGCAGGAAATTCTCAGCAAAAGCCAGCTTCTAGTTCCTGCTGCTCGTAGCTGAAAGCTTATGTTGAGACATTTGTCTGGTAAGCTTTTGGATCTATTCCGAGTAAAGGCTGTCTGTGATCGTAAGCTGTTAGTGGGAGAGCGCATTCTTAGTATGTTTTGAGGTGGCTCCATCAAACAGGCTGCTGGCATGCTCTGGAGTTGATCCTGGGTCATGGTTGTAAGCGAGAGGTCCGGGTGCAGAAACCGAATATTTCTTGAGGGAGGCCTCATGGCACTGAAGCATTTTGCTAAATTGTCTTTTCCAAATTTTTTGATGCAATATTGCGCCTTGTTCTGGCTTTCTCAATCCTGTTGCAGGATGAGATGTCGAGACATGAGATGGATATTGCTGTCTGCAATGGGATTACTTTGCAAATTTCTCTAATTGGCTATTTTAGGTCTATTTTCAAAGACCTCATTTTCGTAGTCTTCTTATAGGATGGCATGGTGGTGGCATGCCCCTGTGAAGCACTACGATCATGTAAGATCACCTTGGTATTAGGATTGTTGGGGTGGGGAGGTCGAAGTACTGTGAGCTGAATCAATGAAGCTTGCAGGATTGTAATTACTGATGGTGTTTTAAATGCAACATTAGAGATTGGTAGAACTTCGTTTGATGTCTATCATCACTTTTTTTGAGACACTGCTGTCGAGATCATGGTTGTGTTGTATGTGCCCCATCTCCATGAATGTGATGTCTTGGTATTTTCTCTGGCAACTCACAAGATCTGATAGTACATAAGCTACATGGCTGGTATCTAATTATTTCTACTGGTTTTATTAGATTCGGAACGATCCTTTAGTGGAGTAAATTGTCAAGTTGGGATTATGGTGGTTTGCTGGTCTTCAAGTTTCACCTACTTCTGTCAGCCGTTGAATGTATTCATGAATGATGATTGGTGCACCATATGATTACCATTTCCTATCAAATCATTTAGTGAAACCACCTACCTCTCAATCTGAATCTCGCACCATTTATGCTTTCAGGCGAGAGACCGAGAGGAAGGTAGTTCTAACTCATGTTTTCGAAGGGATCTAATTAGTTGACAGCTACAATCTCCCACGTGCTCATCCATGTCTTCGGCTGACAGTATGCTCCGGCATACAATGGTCTTGAACAGATGTTTCAATGAGAACCTCTCCACATTCTATTATTGTCCCTTTTTCGCACCTACACATCGTATCAAACCTGCTCTGCACATATTCTACCCTATTCGTAAACGCCATTCTTTCTATTCCTGTCGATGTCCAACTCCATAATCCACTTCACTCAACTGAAACCCACAAATCGGGGATGGAAACGCAGGATATTGGAAACACCACCTCGAAGGAAAAGTAGTCCACATTGAGCCAACGCTATCAGTTCTGCAGTCTCATAAGTGAGAAAGGGGTCCGCACTCCGCAGAGGTCAGAGGAGGGAGGGACCACCTTAATGGCACGGAAGAAAATCTCCAAAACACGGCAGAAGTAGCAGTAGATCATTCCAGAGCAAGCCATTTATTTTAGTGATATTAATGTGTTGGAGACTTGAGAGATTGGAGTCAGAAGCAGCAGCAGGGCCTGCCTGTGCCGTCAAGACGGAGGGAGGAGGATGCAGGAAAAAGCCAACGACGGCCCTCGAGAATGCCGGAGGAGGAGGAGGGGATTCTTCATCCACCCCTGCCCTGCGGGTGCTTCACGAGGGCCTGCTCAACATTCGGGATGAACACACCACAAAACGGATGAATGTTGATGAAATATAGATTATGGATGAACAGAGAATGCCATTCCCTTCCCTTCCCCTCCAAATGCAGAGAGAGGCGAGTAGCAGCAGTGGAGCCCCCGTTTCTACTTCTTCGTCTTGTATCATCGTTCAAAGGCAATGTCGACGTCGTCGTGGTCATTGTTGTGAAACACCGCGTCGGATCCCCCCCCCCCTCCCTTCGATCGCCATCAATCATAGCTCCGCAGGCAGGCCACTGTTATTCCCCGCTCTCTTGTTGTTCGTCGCTGCTGTCCTTGGGAAGCCGGTTCTCTCACATTTGAGGCCTGGTCATTGAATTTTAGGCTTCCTCACCAATTTCGGGTTTGTGATCTGGGGCTTGGACGAGGCTGAAGGTGAGGTGGCTGAGAGGGTGAGAGCGAGAGCGGGAGAGGAAGAAGAAGCATTTCTAGCGGGTTTCTGTCTGGAAATGGTGTTTGTTTGCGTCGATCTTAGCGAGATATAGGAGTGGCCTGTCCCATTGACGTTGGTAGCTACGAATCGAGCTTCGTTGTGTAATGTAACCTAGGTCTGGTGTGTTTGTATGTATAATCTTTGAGTTTTTGAGAAGATTCTAGTTAGAACTTTCTAGTTAGAACTTTTGTCATGTTTCTGCTGCTGCTTAGCGACAGTTTTGTGGTTATTTGAGTGCAGGGTTGATTGTTTTTTATTTTTATTTTTTTCCTGAGAAGCTCAGGTTTGTCGGTGCCGGAATAAGGAGGGAAGTGTTCTGAGGGAGGATCAGGTTGGATCTACCTCTACCGAGTGGTGAGCTGCTACTGGAGTCATGGCCGCAGGTGGATCAAGAGCCCGGGCCGATTATGATTACCTCATCAAGCTGCTTTTGATTGGCGATAGTGGTATGCTTCTTGTGGGAATTGAATTAAATGTCGCTCTGTCGTACGGTCAGTCGTCTGCGCTGACAATTTCGAGGTCCTTTCGTGTGCATGACTTGAATGTGGTGTGTTGGCGGAGGATTTCATCAGAAAGCTAGGCTAATGCTTGGTCTTTTATCTGTCTTTAGTTTACATGGTGCATAATACTTGTTCGTTTTCTAGCTCTGGGGAATAATGCATCTGTTGACTTGAACTTCGGATTCTAGCAGAATGTGTCACGTGTTGAGCAAGCATTAGTATACAAATTGTCCGTAAATACTGCACGTACGACGATTTTTTGACAAACCGTGGTGGAATTGGGGTGATGGCGAAGAAAAGGGTGCAAGTAGGAAACACCTTGGGTTGGTTTCTGAGTTAGGACTTGGCAATCGCTTTTATTAACTTCCAAATAGCGTGTCATTTGCTGGAGGATTTATGTTCCGTCAATGAGTTGAATATTGGGGTTGATGTTCGCAGGGGTCGGGAAGTCTTGTCTTCTCCTCCGTTTCTCCGATGATTCTTTCACGACAAGCTTCATCACCACTATAGGGTGCGTTCTCTTGGACACCGGGACACTGCAATAGTTTGCAGTTGACACACGCAGACGTATATATATATATATATATATATATATATATATATTGTGGTATTGAAATGTGTGGTGTCTGTGCGAAGTAATTAATTTGTGAGAACCTGACAGGATCGATTTCAAGATTCGTACCATTGAGCTGGATGGCAAGCGCATCAAACTTCAGATATGGGATACCGCTGGGCAAGAACGGTTCCGCACAATCACAACAGGTACTTGTGGCTGGCTGGCTTGGCATTGATACTCAGGCTCTCTATTAATATTTTCTCAGACAAGTGAAATTAATCAGGGGCTGTGGGGTAGTCTTTGATGGTAAGTGTGTAATAATGTAGTTGATTGATATCATGGGTTCATTTTAAGGGTTGAGAGCGTTGCCTTTTGTTGGTGTGCAGCCTACTACAGAGGAGCAATGGGGATATTGCTGGTTTACGATGTGACCGACGAATCATCATTCAATAGTATTCACTCCAAACCTTGTCTTTATTCTTGCAGGAGGTGGTCAGTTCTAGATCACAAGTCTATTTGCCAGTAATTTGAAGTGATAGCGAGAGACCAGTTTAAATTTTTTTGTGTGTTAATGATTTTGATGTGATCAGATATTCGAAACTGGATCAGGAATATTGAGCAGCATGCATCTGACAACGTGAACAAGATTTTGGTCGGAAACAAGGCTGACATGGACGAGAGCAAAAGAGTAAGCACCTGGTTTTCTAAACGTTGTTCTGGCTCGGAAGTGTCGTCTTCAACCGAATTAGCAGCTGTCTAATGTTATTTTTTCGATGTGGTGTGCAAATTTTTTTTTGATTTGAATTATTTTACTGCTGGCTAAAGCTCCTTGCTTTGATATTCCATTTGCTGACGTAGTAGACAGATTCTATACAGGTTATGAGTAGTCTCGTGAGCTCAAACTTATTATGGTGCACAGTTTCAGAAACATTTTATCTACTTGTGAATTTTTTCCATGGCTGTGCATGCTTTAGATTTAGATTAGCTGTAACGCGATGTAAATTACTATTCATGAATACAGTTTAGTGTATTGTTTACAATGAAACAGATTGGTTCTTTGACAAGCTACAATGTATACTCCGTCAGTGGGCGTCTGTACTTTGTATTGCAGCTACCAATTCGTTGCATGGAACCCGGATCAAATGTGCATTGATATTTTTTTTGTAGGCCGTTCCCACTGCGAAGGGTCAAGCACTTGCAGATGAGTTCGGCATCAAGTTCTTCGAAACTGTACGCTACAGCCTTACTGGATTTGTAATTAAACTTTATAATGTGTTTGGGATAACGAATTTCTCTCCTGAATAGGGTAACAAATCATACATCTTCTGGATAAATTGGGTTGCTTTTCGTTGGTGAAGTTTACTTGGCAAGGGTCTGGTTCGTGTAGCTTCTGCGTGCTCTGTAAGGGAGGATGCGTTTAGAATTAATCTTTTCTCAAGGACATCTTTACGAATGCCAACGTGAACTTACCATACGTTGGTATCGTACACAGGCTGTTGTATTATCGTGGGACTTACGCTTGCTGTGTCGTCTTTTTAACTGTTTATCAGAGTGCCAAAACAAACATGAACGTGGAAGATGTTTTTTTCACCATTGCAAGGGATATCAAGCAACGGCTAGCTGAAACTGACTCCAAGCCAGAGGTACACCCGGCTAAACTTACAGTTGCCAATGTTTCTGAACGTAAAAAATGTCTCCTTATCGAGTTGAGATACCTTATATTGCAAGATGTTTGCGTCTATCCTGATTTGAGCGAATCAAAATGGGGTGAAGGTAGTCTTGATTTTGTACGGATGACATCAGTTACATTCGTGGAGTGCTAACGTAGTGTGATATTATTTGTGGATGTTGCAGCAACCTGCCAAGGCCGCCCCTGGTGTGAAGCTGTCTGCTGGAGGTGCTCAGCCAAAGGCCGCTGGTAGCTCCTGTTGCTCTTGAACACGTAAGATTAGGTATTCATCAGTGAAGGATTGTGTGTGAACTTGAAGCTGGGTGGCAGAAAGCACTGAGATTTTGTTCTCAGCTCACTCCACTGTTCAAGCAATGTTATTGGGAACGATCCGAAGGTCAATGCGTGAAAAGTTTGGGCTTCGCACAACGAGTGGAGGTTGCGATAGGACCGTTGGAGTGACACATGGCTTACTCCTTTCATTCAATCGTTGTGCTTACTGCATTTCCCTTCTTTTGTAGCCACATTTTGCAAGGTTGTCACTTCATCTAGTTGGAACATGAGATGCTGAAAACATGATATGATTATGGCACTGCACGGTTGGATGACTTGTGAACTTGATTATTAGGTGTATCGTGCAAAGCCCAACCTACTAAGTTTAGCAGTGGGGCAATATCCTGACTCAATGTCCTTGTGAAATATATTGATCGTTTAATCTTTTTTGATTTTTAACCTGTGAAAGGAATGGGAGTGAGCTGAAGAAGGATACATGGTTTTCTCACCGATAGTGCTTTTTACTCAAGTACAGTAAAAACATACCTGAATGGCAATTGAGAGACGAGGTTGTTAGGGTGTAATTATGGTACGTGCGGCCAATTTGTGTATGATGGTTTACTAGCTATCTTTAGCAAGTGCGGAAAATTTGATTGGCACTAACGATTGACATGTAGCATCTTAAATGAATGCTTTCTCAGGTACCTTAATAAAGCATTGTTAAGAAATACCCTTGAATAATTTTCCATAGTAGAAAACAGTGTCTCCAACTTTGCCAAAAACGCTTCACACATTTCCAACAATTGCGTTCACATTACTGTATCAACAGACATCTTCATGAAAGTGCACACTCGTTCATTTCCGTTCGAATGTCACATCAACGTAGACATGTAACGACATTATATCATAGGGATACCGCAAACGTAGACGGATATTCAACATTTCAATTAACTACTGGACTTGGAGGAAACGATGGTTTTAAGTGATAAAAGATACTAACCCACAAACTGATTGAAAGGTTTCATCCCGCAACTGCTAATCTACAACAGCCTCATCCATTAAAAATGTTTGCCGGTATTGCATCCTGCTAAATGTCTATCCCTTGATCAAATGCTATTCTTTAAGAGGAAAGCCACGGGCAGATGGAGATCGCTGCCGAAAGAATTAACTCTCCACTAATATTTGTAAATCGCCTATGCTGGAATAGATTCGAGGTTATTAGGATCCTTCTCGGTGTCAGTGTCAGATTTGGAAGCTTCTCTTGAGGCTTGCTCATCCATGGCTTTCTCCGCTTGAAGAACGGGTCCGTAATACTCAGGGTTGTCCTCCATACAATCTTTCAAATAATGTGTCATTTGTGCACATTTTTCCACAATGTTTGTGCCCGCAGTCTCAGCATCATCAACACAAGCCTCCCAAGCCGCAAACCGCTTTCCACAAGGACCAGCCTTCATGAATAGGCAAAATCCACACTCTTCTTCGTCACCCTGCACAAGTGAATGGGCTAGGTATTAAAAGCGCTGAATGATAGATTAGTAGACCTATGCAAATCCTCACAGTTTTCTGAACATCACTTCTACATGGTAATAACGTTGAGGACTTTTGACCTGCAATGAGGGGTCGATGCAAAGCACACTAAAACGGGAAAACTGAATGCTATAGCAGATAATATTCTTCGTAATAATTAGTAGCAATCTGTCTACATTCCAACTCCCCAATCCATGCTAATCCTCTAGAAAGGGACATACGAATACAATGATAAGAAATAAATACATTTCGTATAAACTATCCAGAAAAAAAGCAGGATAGATTTCTATAAATCAAACAAATCAAAGTAGTCATATCACAAAAAGAACGCAATTTAAGTTTCACGGAGGTTTGTTGAGACTTGAGAGAGTTCGAACAACAGAATTAAGGAAAACAGCAAGAACTGCACCTTGCCATCTTGCAAGGACTCATCAGGTCCATACGGTTGTGGCTCCTCTAGAGTGAAACTCTGCTGAACATCCACTTCTTCATGGAAGGTGCCCTCCACCTTCCCATTTTGCTCGACGACAGTGTCCACAGTAATAGTAGAATCGACAATCACGGTCTGTGGCTCCTCCTGCTTCTCCTCATTCTGCCCCTGCACTTGCCCCTGTTGTGGCTCTGGCTGCTGCCTAGCTTCCCCTTCTCCCACCTCAATCCACTCGTCCACTCTCTCCTGCGCCGTCATGACGCCAACAAACACACACAAATACACCTCACACTACCCAGCGATCCACCAATGAACCCTAAAATCTCATGCCCCGAAACCCACCAAAACCCAACGCCAACAACTCATAACCCTAAACGCGAACACGTTAAATGCCGATTAAACAAAGCAAGGAGACAGGGCCACAGCAACCAAAATCACCAGTCAGTCGTCTTCAGAAACGGTGAGTGCCCTAGAAGTCGCGAAGGCTTGGTTCAGCATTTGTAAAAAGGGGAAGGGGCGCGTCAAAAGCGGATGATTCTAGAGGGTGAAGAAGGGGGAATGATCGAGAGGGGAGGGAGCGGCGCTGTTCATGTTCATAGCGTGCTTCGTAATTGTTCCCGATCTCCTCCTTTCACCTTCTCTTCGGCGATGCTTCTCCGACGCCAGCTGCTGCTCCTGCCTCCCACGCATGGCGACGAGCTGCCACGGTGGTTAGGGTACTGGCCTCTTCTGCCTTCTCTTGAGCATCCCCGTGTGAACGGGTTGGTATCGCGACTATGATACCCGCCGTTCGCAGGGCCTCACCTCCAGGTACTGAAGCCCACCACCAATATGCGGTTCACGGGCACCTCTCGAATCGCACCGGCCGTGGATGTTGGGGTCCAGGGTGCTTCACTCCACGTGCCCATAACCGTGAGTTTGCTTTGACGTACAAGGATAATTCAGATTTTTTTGATAATTGCTAAATCACAGATTTTTATTTTTATTTTTTTCCTTTCTTCTTCTTCTAGCAGCAGGAATTTCGTAACATGTTATCATTAATTTAAAAAGAAATTACATTGTGGGACACACCCATAGAAATAATTACAATAAGGAGCACAAATTGATTATAATTACAAAGAGAGGCACACTTATAGAAATAATTACAAGGAGGTGCACAAATAAAAAAATAAAAATAAATAAATCAAAGAGAGGCCCAATTCTCTTCCTAGAACATAGTTCTCATCCTTAGTTTGCCTTGCTTTTCTTTGTGTAGTCCAATAAGTTGAAGGTCATCAATCAGAGATTGGATAATGACAATCCAAGACAAATTGGCTATTGGAATTGTGTTTTCTACAACCAAGGATGTCCATACTGGTATTCCATGCTATCTTGTCTTGCAAGCTATTTTTTTTTTTTGTCCTTATCAATTTAAAGACAACAAACTCAAATGCATCAAGATTCTCTACTTAAAAAAAGAGGAAGAATTTCATGATGAGAACATGAGTTGCATCAAAAGAATTTCTAGAAAACTATAATTTGGGGTTTCAAAAGCTTGCACCACTATTTAAAAGATAAATTGCAAGAAATCATGGTAGCATGACTATACTTAATATAGATAATTGATAGAAATTTGTTAAAGCATTTTTTTTGTCTTTAAACTTTGAAGATTGTACCTACAAGCTACTATCTCATATTTATTATAAATGCAATGCACTTAAAGGTAAGATGCTAAGGTATATACTTTAGCCTCAACAAAGAAGTCAAAAAATATCACCTTGTTTTTATTACTTTTGAAATTACTCCGATTGAGAATAATAAAAACTAGATATGGTTTTTTGAGTAATTGGTGCATGCAATGCCCTTCTCAAACTCCACAAGCATAACAATTATAGCAATTACAAGAAAGTGCATAAATTTTTGGCTTTCAATTTTGGATTTAATTATGCATTTAATATTGCATTGAGTCTAATGATATGTTTAAGAAATCAAAAGTGAAGTTGTTGCAAAGCTTATGTTTAAAAATCATGGTACTTAAATCTAATACATAAAAAGAAATGTGAATTATTGCTACAATACAAAGTTGAATAAAAGATTTGAACAATTCCAAAAATGTTATCTATAGATGTCAAAGCAATTGCAATGGCAAAATGCAAGATGAAACATCTGCAAGATGCATGTTGTTGCATTTAAGTACCTTAGCACTACTCCATGTTAAAATTAGATCCTTAGCCATGTCAAGTTTTGATGCTTTGATGTCTTTAGTTCAAACATATTAAAGATAAGAAACTCCTAAATCCTTAATGTACACCATGTAGAAATTTAAAGAATATCATATTACTTCCATTTGAAATAAAATAGGTATAATAACTATGAAAAATTTACCTTTTTAATTGTGATGAGATTAAATTGGAAAATCAAACTAAATGCTTAAAATATGACAAAAAATGCTACAATTTTTATAGTTATAATTGACAATGTCAAGTATGATAGTTCTCTTTAAGGTGAACAAGATCATAGTACTTTGTGTCCTTTGGCACTTACAAGGTATATATGCAATGACAAAGAAAAACAACATTATGTCATAGAAATATATATTTATTCCAATAATTATCTATATGATTAGATAGAAGTAGGTAAAAGTAGATTAATTTCATAATAACTTCTAGAGAAGCTTTTTAGAAGCTTCATAGATGTAATTTCAACTTCATACATGTTTGTAGTTGATTGGTAGGTTAGAGACTTGATCAACAAGTTAATCAACTATCACACGTATTGATAGCTTGTAGAACAAGCTAATTATGTGGTGCATATATACATAACTTACCTTGCAAGTTAAGATATGTAACTTACAAGGTCAATACGTGTTAGAGATCCTATAGAACATTGCCACATAATTTTTAGTTAGATATTATATATGGAGGCAAGAATAAAGCGTTCTTCACTCTTATCAATGCTTTTTTAGTTCTTAGTTTTGTTTCAAGACTTTTTAGTCTTCTTATCTTTGGCAATAGCCATTCTAATTCAATATATTACCATCTTTGAGTGACTTTTCAATCTTTTCAAGTAACACAAGAGTATATTGAATTTTCATTCTTTGAGATTCATGTTCTTAACACGTTATGATAAATTATGCATCTCTTTGTAAGTATTTTTGATTTGTATCCTTATTTATAATTATTTTTGTAATTTTTTAATTTTATATAATTTTTTCTTCATTGAATTATTAAAATTTATTAATTTTAAAATATTCATCTAGCTATGCTTAAAATAATTTTGATATTTTAATTTATATATTTTTTATATAACAAAAAAAACATAAGTTTTTCAAAAAATATTTGATTTATTTTTTTATAACAAGAAAAATAAAGTATTCATATATATATATATATATATATATATATATATATATATATATATATATATATGTGGAAGAATTCATTTGAATAATTTGCTAAAAGAAAAATCTTTGATTGACAAAGATAATAAAATTTTATAATTTATTAGATAAATTTTTTAGTCTTTTTCCATCAATTTTTTTTAAAGTGAATCTATTTTATATAATGTATAAATAAAAATATATAATTCCCACAACATAAAAAAATTAAATTCTTTTAAAAATAAACTTAAAAAAATATTTAATATTTATTTTAATACTAATAAAAATATTTGTTTAATTAACAGATAATATTTCTTATTATAGTGATTTTAATTTAATTTTATGTTTTTAATTTTGAATTTTTTAAATTTTAATATTTAGTTTTATAGAATATATTTTATTAATGAATTTAATTTTTAAAATTTTGATTTTTTAATTAATATTATCTTTACTTTATTTTAAATATATCTACATATACTTCAAAAATAATAAATATACTTATTTTTTAACTTTTATATTTTAAAATCCAAAAAGATACAAATCTACACATCTTTGTCTTAGTTTTATTTATAACTTATTAATAATAATAAATTTAATATGATTTAAGATGGCATAATGATATTAAAAAAATAATAAATTTTAAGAATAACTTGTATAGTATTTTCTATTTTACTTTTTATCAATTAATTAAATTATTATTAAAAATTCCAAATTTTTACTATCCATATAGCAATGATTTTGTGAAAGATAGTTAAAGTGTTATAATAAAATGTCATTTAGATATATACTTTTGTCAATTTATGTTGATATTAAGTGGGATAAAAAAAGTTTACATTAAAAGATTGGCAATTTTTGTAAATAATTTATGGACATTATTGATAACTTTTTAAATCGATTGGATCTATGATTTGTAATGAAAAATTTTCAAATAGATCTAGTTGATTTACTTTATTATACACTAAAATTATATCAGTTTAATAATTAATTTTTAAAAATGCTACAACAATAAAATTAGACAAAATAGAATATGTATTGTTTACATGAAGGTATGGTAGAAACAACTATCCATTCAATACAATTTAATAATTTAAATAATATATATATATATATATATATATATATATACACCATAGTACAAGTAATTATTGTTTTAACTTAAACGACTCTAAGAGTAAAAGAATGTAGGCAACTTAAGAATAAAGTGATTGTCAATGTACTAAAAGTAGTAACCAAAAGAAATAAGAGAAAACTATTTTAAAGATATTGTTTTATGTATAATTATAATTATATTTTTTAACCATGGTAAAAAGAACATAAGATTGTATATTATTTGTATTATTAAATAAGATACAATTGCCAAAAGTTTTAATATAAAGATATTTTCTTAAAAATTATTTTATAAAAGATATAAAAGAAATAAAAATTTAATGTAGAAGTTAGATTATTTACTATAATTGGTATTCTAAAATAAATTCTTTGATTAAATAAAGTTTTTATAATTATTTCTTGCAAATAAAAACATACTACTTTTTGACTAAAAATGTAGAAAATATATATTAAAGAAAAATTATATCAAAGATGATCACTTTAAATATTTTATGTTTTTAGAATTTATAAAAATTTCCAAAAGAAAAAAAATCAAGACAATGTCAAACTATTGAATTTAAATTTAAATAATTAATATATATATATATATATATATATAATGAAATAAAATTCTACATTTTTATAATGTTGTCATTTAAACAAAATTTTCAACCAAACAATCTTTATCAAAAAATAAAATAAAATTAACTAGATTTTTTTTAATAAGTAGAATTATAATTATTGAATCAATTTATGTCCTAAATAAGAACTTAAAGCAAGATAAATGAAATAAATTAAAAATTATATCTAAGATAATAAAAAAAATAAAGAAGTATGTATATTCCACAAGTAACTTAAACAATTGTTGCCAAAGACAAGAAGATTGAAGATTCTTGAAACTAGACTAGAAATATAAAAGGTATTGACAAGCACAAAAAATGCTTTATTGTTACTTCAATATGTACTACCTACCTAAGGAGCTATATAACAATATTGTATAGAATATCCAATACATGTCTAATTTGCAAGGTAAGTTTTTAATATGTGTACCTCATAGCCAACATGTGCAATACATAGGTAGCTTATTGACTAAATTTTCAATCTACCAATAATGTATAAAAAATTCTAAAGTCAAATCTTTCAAATCAAGATATTATTAAGTTAACCTATTTATATTTATTTATGAATAATTAATCATATTATTCTTATTAATATTTTTAATATTGATGTTTGTGATATTATCCTTTTTTTTGAAGAAAAATTCTACAATGAGTGGTAACTATATATTGAGAAAATTTAAGATGCAAAAAATTGCATTTGCCATAGAATCTGATATTTATTCTCTTTGAAGGTAGTTGATAGGTCCTCTCAACCATCAATAATGTCTTATATCAAACCAAGAAGACTATCTTGTTATTTGATCATTTTGAAGGCTTTTATATCTTTTTTCAAATAAAATATTAAAAATACTTTTAATAGTGGTTCTTACTTCTAATAATATTTTTAAATATTAAAAGTGCCATCTAAAATTGTAATACCAAACTTATTGTATCTTACCATCTATTTAAGAAAAAACATATTCTACTAGAGTTTCTTCATCTGTATAATATTATTTTGAAGGTTATGACAATCTCAATGGCTCATCTAGTAGCTCAATGAATAATGGTTCTTTAAATGAATTCACTTGTTATTGATTTTCCATGACAAATGTAAAGAAACTACAAACAAATATACAAAATAAAATGAATTCTTCATTGAACCTCGTCTATTTTATAATAAAGGATATATTGACTTTTTAACTTGATTTTCATGGATGTCATTGATATAGAGTACTAACCCTTTTTAGAGAATTTATTAGACTCTTTGATGGCTCCCATGTAAGTTAATTAATGTATTAATATATAAGATAGTTTAATCTATATCAATATTGCTTATAGTCTAAGATCTCTTCTCCTCCAAATTCTTAATTGTTGTCTACTCTATAGAAGAATTTAGCAATTGTCATCTTCTCAATATATCCATTATCTTTTTTGGCTCAAGAAATGACAATCAAAAAACATGATGAATATTAATAGATTTTGGTAGGCATAATTGATATAAAATTAAATATATATTTTTACAAATATATAAGCATTAAAATCTATTATTATTTGATTTTTCATATATGCAATTAGTTTTGATATTACAATGAAGTAACCATGCTTTGATGCTAATTTGTAATTTAGATTGTTCTTTACAATTGACATCTATATTGATTTTTTGTTGTTCTTGAGCTTTCTTTAATTATGCCATTATTGTCAAATATAACTCTAATAATTAATTTTTAAATTTTTTTGCTATAGGATTATTAATTTTTTAAAAGTTAAAAATATCAAATAATCAAGGATAATCATAGTTAGTATAGAAAAAGTAATATCGAGTAGAAAAACATATTGTTTTATTATATGTAAATTTTGCTAGTTATAAAAGAGTTGTTTATTTATCTTCGTGGTATTTGATAGTACATTGTAAATACTACTTCTACACTTAATTTACATGCTTTATTTTTTTATTGATTTAAAGATAAAAGAGCAAAATAATTCTATGTATACTTTTAATATCTTAAAAAAAATTATTTAAAACCTAAATATTAATTAAGTCCTTCTATTTAATATAATATATCTCTATAATTTATAAAAAAAATAAATATTATTAAAAAAATATAGATATTTTTTTACTTATGATATTTTTTTTTATATATATAGTACAAAATATTTTAATGTAGTGATATAATTCACTATTATAAATTTAGAATAATAAGAGCTTGAAATTGAAAGATTTTTAGTAAAATATGTAGTAAAAAAGATTATAGTTGTTTTCTTATAGTTAATGGCTTAAAGAATCCAAAAGATTAAAAAACAATAATTTTTTATCTTAAAAAAATATCACATGGTTATACAAAGTTTTTTTTTTTTTTTTTTTTTTTTTGAGGCCATCAAATATCTCTTAAGATTGACTCCAATGTCTTGTTGTATCCAAAAATATCTTACAATTAGAAAATTGTGATAAAGTTGAAGAGCACAAAATTATTCTGTACCTTCTACAATGTATAAACATTCCTTCAAATAAACACTTCTTAAGCAATATAATTCTTGATTCTCTAATAATTGTGGTAGCATTTAAATAATATTCCATCATGAAAAAAAGAATGTGATTTTGTGTAGATATTGAAATAGCTACAATAATCTCTATATCTTTACTTTCAACTAATCTTATTGCTCCTTGTGGTGGTGAATTGAGCTGATGCATTGCAAGCATTAATCTTCTCATTTGCACATACATTTGTGCTATTGCATCCTTCATTTCAACAAGTTATGCAATAATAATACAACGAAAAAAGTAGATGCCTAACTTTACTTTAGACTAGCGATAAAAAAAATCAAGAATAGAAGAAATTCTATAAACAATATCAATTTAGAAGTAAATATTCTATAATTTCTATTATACTTGTGTCTTATAAAAAAAAACAAGTAATGCATTCTTAATGAAGAAAGACAAAGCTCAAATATTGTAAGTGTATTCTTTTCAATCTATCAAAGTCAAGAACTTCAAAGGAGATGAATAAAATAAATTAGAAATTAAATTAAAGATAATACAATAAAATAAAGAAGTATGTGTATTCTATAAGTAATTAGAATAATTATTGCTAAAGACAATAAGGCTAGAGGCTTGTGAAACTAAACTAAAAACATAAAATGCATTGACAAAAATAAAAAAGACCTCACTCTTACTTCTATATATACTATCTAAGTAAAGAATTATATATCAATGTTCTATAGATCATTCAACACATGTCTACCTTAAAAAACATGTATTTAACTTATAACGTAAGTTTCCATTATGTGCACTATGTGGCCAACTTATTGAAAAACTTTCCAACCTACAAACACTTGTAAAGTCAAATCTGCATCTTGAAAGTTTTTAAAGAGTTTTTTTTGAGATGATATCAAATTAACTTATTTTTATGTATATTTTCTTAATTCTTCTTAATTTTTAAATTACTAATGTTAATATTAATATCTGTAACAATCTATCATATTAATATTAGATAAATAATGCATATTGAATTAATAATAATAGATTGTACATTAACTTAGATTTTATTTATTATAAATCTATCTCTTATAATATCAATTGTAATGTTAATACCTCAACATCAAATATTAGAAGACAAAAATATTCTTATAGGAGTAGAAAAACCAAAATATAATTATTTTTGGTCATAAAATTATTTCAAAGTCTATTTCAATCAAGTTCTATACAAAATCTCAACTATGGTTATTGAGGTTTTAGTTACTCATAATTTGTTTAAAGAATTAAATAGTACTCGGACTTAATCTACCCTTATAAAAATAATAACTTAATTCTTAATAGTTCACTTGAATTGTCTAAGACTAAATCAGATACTATTAATAATTATTTTTAATTATTTATCATTAATTTTTATACTTGTATTAAAATATCATAATAATTTTTATACTTGTATTAAATATCATAATAATCTGTTAATTAATATGTTTCACAAATGAATATATAATATTATAGATGGGAATGAACAAGAAATTATTCATCATTGATTGAAGGAGAAAACGTTAAGAACTCAGTACTAGGAGAACCACAACCTACATAAAATGTACATTTCAAATACTTAACTAAGAAACGACCAGAAAACGGTTGCAATTCCAAGAAAACGTTGGAAATAGACTATCAATCTAGTGGAGATTGAACTGAACATGCATGCTAGCTTCACTTTGACGTTCACAAACCTATTTATAATTTACCTGTATTTAATTTTCAAAAAAACCTCACAATGATCACAAAAGGACCAGGAATACTTGGTTCCCTCATTGCCCTGGTGCTCGTGAAGCCATGAGCATCACCACGGCAGTTGATAAGATAAATGGGTGTGCTGCTCTGCAGCTTTCCTGAAACCATGAAAAGCTGGTCATGAGCTTAACCTTTGGTGCGAGAAAATCAGAATAATTTTTCATATAAATCAGACACTTCCTCAGTTTGTGTTGGTTTATGAAGGAACCTGGCAGGTGGAACAGGTGCATCAGTATGGTAATAGTTGTTGGCAGATGTAAATCTGGGATTTGCAAAATATAGGGTCGAAGGGGGTTTGATGCACCTTCCTCTCCATGCCACTGTTTAGAGAGCGCCTTTTAGTTGTGTAAGTCAAAGATTTGAGAGATCTGTAATGGACCCCTGCTTCTCCTCGTCAAGTTGAATCAAAAAACGTGCAGTAGGTTCTTGCAAATTTGCAACATTTTCTGTCACACCTGGCTTCATTTTACGTTTCCCATATCCAATATACCGCTTTTCATATCTGAAATATTCAGACACCATGCAATTAAGACTGTGAATCGAATCAATGGAGACAATAATACTTACAACAAAGAATAAGTGAAGGATTAAGCGTACAAGGAAATCTTTCAGTCAACCTCTTGTATTAGCAGTTTTCGAGAGGGAGTTGCTACTTCTTTTGCAGCTTCCTTGACTTTAACTTCATTATTGGATGAAATAGTCTCAAGTTCCCTAGTGCCAACTTCAACAATCAGCATACTTTTCTCTTTTTGAACAAGCCCAACTAAGTCATCAAAAATTTCACTCGCCTGTTCATTTACCCAACATATCATAAAGTAAAGCTTTTTCTGTGCCGTTCGTAATCTTCTAGAATTTGAACTACGACGTTTTGAGTAGCCCTTTTTCTCATGCTTCACTCTTGATTTGGGTGGCGCCGAACTGGATCCCTCTTTCAAAATTGCAGTAGAAGAACCCTCCTTGTTTTTAACGTGTGTCTTCAGGTCCTTTACCGCACAATCGATGAGCCGATAGGCATCTGCCAATGCACATAGTATCCCTTCCCTTTTCAGTCGAAGCAGAAGGGCAGTGTCATCAAAGAGGCTGCTCCCAAATCTGTGCCATAGTGTACCAACAAATCAAGATTTCAACATTACGCCTACATTTATACGCTTCTTGACAATTAAAGAACATAGTGTAAACACGATGCAAACACGAGGCCAAGAGTTCCTTCCGCTTTAAAATCCTCTAGTTCTACAAATACTATCATCACAAATGCAAGTGAAACGATGCAACATCTCCTCAACCATAAGCTGAAGAAAATATCTGGAAGAAGAAATGTGTTAGGAGCTAACCTATATCCTCCAGCGTGCTTGAAAGATGGCGAACAAACGCTTTCCAAACAGCCTGCCAGTGCAGCGCTTACTGACTCTGGAGTTGAACCGACACCTAATACCTTGGCAATGCATAAAAGAACTAAAGCAGCATCTAGCGGATCTGATCCCCAATCGCCATTGAATAAACGCAGTGTGAAACAGTATCCATAAATGACCTCGGTCAAATGTACACCAAGTAAGGGCGATGGTTGCTTAGCTGTTAGGTCTTTGATTACTTGCAAGGGTGTGTCCAATGGTGAAGGAATATCGGAACTGGCAGACAAGATCTCACCGCCTGAATCAGATAGAGCCTCTTCGTCCAAAGAAGTTACTTCCTTAGGTGTTTGCTCTTCAAGAGGCTGAACCAATTGCATACCGGATTTAGTCAACGATATATTATGTGCCAGAGGATGAGTCCACCAAGGATCCCAAGGTTTTATCAAATGACTGAATTTACCGGCAGCAACAGCTCTCATAAAGGCCTTCTTTTCTGATGCTGACAGATCCTCGAACGATATACTAACTCCTGCGAAATACCAGGCGTCCACTCAGCTTGGATTTGACGATTATCAACCAGAGTACCTTTTGCAGCATTCAAAACACCAAACTTATAATTACATGGCTTGTCTAAAACAGAGGCAATTGAAAGATCACAGTACACTAGCTGTACATTAACGCGTCACAAAAACAAACAGCTCACCTTCTTGTAGACTTTGAAGAGTATCCTCTGACAACAGCTCCTCCGTATCAAAGCCTACAAAACAAAAAACAAAAATAAAAATAAATAAATTAATTAAAAGTGCTAAAAAAACAGCAAGATGTGATGAATGACAGAGGTGCACTTAGCACAATATCTGAAGCTTGTAAATGACCAAAAAATAAGGTAAAGTTTCCTGAAAAAAATCAATTTCAAATCTACTATGAAAACATGTCTTGATATTTTTTGAGAAATAATCAAAAAAAAGTCCCGCCAAATACCAGAATATGTAATCCCATAAGAGTGAAACATGTGATAGAAATCCGGCAGGACTGAATAGAGCGAATAACTATAATCTTTTGAACAGGCGAGATCTTCTCACAATGTCTTACCTATTTCTGATGGTTCTTCGCCCTCCCCATTCAGAACTTGCATATAATCATCTTCAAAAACACTGCGGCCCTCATCATCAAAGTGGATACGCTGCAAAGCTTCTAGCATTCTCTGTTTACTCTCAGGGGTAACGTTCAAGCCCTTCATCTCCTCCAAAACATTCTCCCGTGCAAATTGCTCCGTGCACCGGACGCTGTGCTTCTGTCAATTTACGGGAGAAATGAAAATTGTCATTAGATATATTTATGTGCCAAAGCCAACAAAAGGAGATACGCCCAAGATATCCAAGAAAGTTTCAGACATTCAAACCAAAACAATGAAAGCCTTCAGAACCCCTAACAGTGATTCTAGTGAACCGAAGTACTGCAAGCTGTGCACAGTCAAAAATATCTTGAGCATGATACGCATAGCTTGTAATACGACCAAAGAGATTTCTGCAAATCAGCACTATTCTCACCAGTCCCCAATTTCCATGTTTCCTTAATCCACAAACCAAAGTCGCTCTCCCAATCAGGATCTTCAAGAATACATTGAAAAAATACCTTGTAACATTGCAGAGAACAATAGCGGATGTTGCATCTTGGACAAGTATACTGAGAGAAGTTTCTGGTGCATCTGTGCAAGAACACAAACTCAAGGAATTTCAGAAGCTACTAAAAACATTCCGCTAATGAAAAAAAAATTTCCATATGATAATTGGAGAGCTCGGTAACCCTCCAACCCTAAATCCGTCAAGCACGCAAACTAGCCATTCAGGATCGCAGAACCACCAATAACGTCTGCGTTCTTCCAATCTAAGACCACCCAAATTCCTCGCACCGCTACAGAGCGAGAACGATTCGGACTCATCACCACAAAGTTGAAAGTCACCCACTAAATGACAGCCAACGGAGAACATTGGGTAGCGCTTAGTAAGACTATGCTACGCACGCCCTAGTCGCACACTTAGAATCATTGCACATAAGCACACAGCGGCAAGCAAATGCACAACGTCTGAAGAGCTGGAATTGCTTACACGCGGCATATCAGACGCTGTTCCGAGACGTTTATTCCCACCGATTTGCTCTCACTCAAGTCAGACATGCTGCAAAATTCTCACAAGTCAGAAGGCCGCTTCCGCTGTTTGGAACCTTGACGAAGCTCCACACCAATGCACACGAGCTTTGGGTACTACTATTCAGGCTACAACCCGCACAGAGACGATGCAAAGCCTCTAATGCGATCAATCAATCAGAGGTTTTGCGGTCAGGGCTGCGGCCCCACAAAAAATGACGCAACGTGAGCGTCACTTCCTCTCTCATCTCCTGTGCCGCGGTTCTCCTTGGGCACCCGTCACCGCCTCCTGCCTCTCCTACGACCGTGGACTTGGTCTTAGAATCTATGCATATAGATATATATATTCATATTACCATAATTTTATTTCCTTTTTTGGCACGAATGAAACAAATTTCATTGCAGGCAGTAACCATTATAGAGCCAGACTAGAATAGAATTCAAGAACCCTTGTCTAACTGGACCTGGACTAGCAACTCGAAGTGTAAATATAGTACAATCCTCTTGAGGGGACTAACTGGCACGAGGATGATTACGGGCATGACGTGATAGCCAACGTATGGTGTGGCCGTTTCCAAAACAAAGAATCCCATTATTTTCCCATGTTTTGTTAAAGCTGGTGAACCAAAAATCAAGTGGGGTCCATATGTGGGTATTCGTTTTATTAACCGATTCCACTCGATCCGAGCATAGTCTTGGAGACCCGACCAGTTGTTTGAGGTGACCTGTTCAAGGGACCGCTCTTCTCTGTGGAAGGCCATTGCATTCTGTTCGAGCCAAAGCTCCCATGTGGTAATCCCCGTAGGAGCGAGCAGATGAGTAGCATTTTACCGAAGCGCTTGGGGGGTTCTTTTTAAACACGCAGTGCACCCTGTCAAACTTGAACCGGGTCGGGGGGCCGGCCTATGTGTGTAGTATGGCATGAATTACATCGAGGCACCACTCCCAAGCCCGTTTGGCCTTGGAACACAGCCAGAATATGAGGACGATGGATTATGTCGTGTCCGAGCAAAATGGGCAAGAAGCACGAGCTGATTCTATCCCTCCACGTATTACTGCGATGGCCTTGTGGTAAACGCTCCAGATAAAGGCGGCTTCCTTTTGCGACCTTTTCTTGTGCCATGTGTTCTTCCAGTGAAGGGAACTCCGAGGTCCTTCCATTTTGTCTCGTGGAGGTCGACTGGGATTTCAGCATCATGAAGGTAGTCCCTGGTTGCTTTGGCTGTGTAATACATGAATGGTGAACTATCCCGCCACCCATAGCGGGCACGGTCGAAGCAAAGGTTGGCTACGAGGCCGTAGAAAAAGAGGGTCGAATACTTATGGGTTCCTTTTGCAACTTCTAGGATTTTTAGCTTTCGAGGTGTGCAGCAGATGCCATCCTTTATGGCGAAGTCAAGGCCGCATGCGTTCTGAATGGAATTTGAGGTGGAGATGTCGGGGATTATGGTTAAGGTCAGGGTATTTTCAGTGACGAGAAACAACCTGCCTTGGATCTCGTGGAGGGGAAAGATCCCCTTCATGTCGCAGGCTACTTGTATTCCACGGTGGACTCTAAAATCGAGGGCCGGTGTTGCGTCGAGTGCCTGAAGGAAGAGTTCGATCTAGTCTCCTCGGTTGGGGGGAAAGACACCTGGAGTGAGTAAAATCCCATATGAGCGATGGATGGTCAAGCAGATGGTTGCCCAACCTGGTTCTTTCTCGGATAGGAGGTCTAAGTGATTGCTGGCCTTGGAATAGGACGATGTGTCCGATGCTGTTGAGGACCAGCAACCTCTGAACGTCCGAAGTCCTTTGGCGAAAAGGGTTGCGGCACATTCTTGAAAGAACTCAGAGTGTATGTTGAATTTGAATTTTGGGCTATGCCCAGGATCCACAGTTAACGTAGCTTCAAACGACTTGGGTTGGAGCCAGTGAAGGTGTTGGACAACAAGCTTCCAAGTTCAGGTTGCACGATTCCAGATTTTGGAACCGAGCACGCTCAAATGGTTAGGCATGAGAAAAGCACACGCTCTAATGGTTAGGCATGAGAAAAGCACACGCTCTAATGGTTAGGCATGAGAAACGCACACGCTCTAATGGTTAGGCATGAGAAATGCATGAAGAATTGGATGAAGACATTGAGAATATAGTATGAATCAAATAAAGTTGGATTATTTGGCAAATACCTGAGGATGAACAAGTTCAAAGAGGGTGGATGTCTTGTTATAAAACAGCTATATGGATCTTATTACAAAAGAGCCAAGTTAAAAGATAAAGTAGAAAAATATGGATAAAAGATAGGAAGGTAGTAAAACTTTTAGCAATAATGTTGCTTTTTTAGAAAAATGATTTCTATTTATTTTGTAGGCCCATAAATAAGGCAAATCAAAATAGGTTGGAAAAATGAATGATATAGGCATCTTTAGGAGAAAGTTAAGAGTAAATTCTAGCAAAAACTACCTAAAAAAACTAAATATTGATACTTGGAGAGGGCTGATTATGAACTAGGATCAAAATCAGACCCCATGGCACAAAATCGAGCTTTGACGATAACTCTCGGATTCTTTGGCAAATTGGAGAGTGGAATTAGAGAGTAGACTTGATAGAGTATTGATAGGCATTGATTTGGGATGATTTGGATATGCACTGACTTTATAAGAGCTTTGCAAAGTCAAGGTTTGTTTTAGATGACTTTAGATTTGTAAAATAAAATGGGAAATATTTTTTGGAAAATTTCGTAAGTTTGGCAGTAGATTCATGAGTGAAAATTTGAGGGTTTGTGGATTTATATGTGTTCAATATATGTTGTGAGTTTGAGCTTGATCGAAGGGTTGGATTGAAGGTTATTGAAGTTTAAGTGGGTCAGGATTTCAGAAAGTAGAGTTTTAGGTTGAGTGAGGATTTCTAAGATTTCTTGCAATCTATTAGTTGAATTGGAGTGAAAATTAGATGTATGGGTAGTAGACTTATTTTCCTACATATATAAGAAATTTGAAATCAATTGAATGGTTTGATAAGGAAATATTGGCATTAGAAATTCAACATTTAGATTAAAGAAGGAGGCCGGCCAATATCCAAGCAAATATTAGGATTGATTTTCTTTTTGGTGAATTTGATTTTCTTCAAAAATTTTGTGCTTGTTGTCAACTTAACTTTTAAGAGGTATGCAAATTTTGAGTTAAAATCAACAGTTTATTCATTAGTTATTGAGGTTTAAATTTGCCATAGGAATTACTTGGGATTATTTAGGATTTGATTAGGTTTTGATTAGGATTTGATTAGTATTTGGTTAAGATTTGTTTAGGATTTGATTAGTATTTGGTTAAGGTTTGTTTAAGATTTGGTTAGGATTTATTTAGGATTTGTTTAGGATTTATTTAGGATTTAGTTAGAATTTATTTAGAATTTGGTCAGGATTTGTTTAAAGTTTGTTCAAGGTTTGGTTAGGATTTATTTAAGATTTGTTTTGGATTTGATTAGGATTTTTTTAGGATTTGATTAGGATTTTATTAGAATTTGAATAGAATTTGATTAAATTTTGACTAAGGTTGAATTAAGGTTTTTATTTTAATATTTTATTAAGGTTTCTATTTTAGTATATTTTTGAATTTTTATATTATTTCTTTATGGTTCTTTAAAAGGTCTCTAGGATTACTTTGTGTTTCTTACACAATTCTTGTGAAATTTTGATTGAATTTGATCAATGTTTGATCATATTTGCTAATCTTTAGTTGTAATTTGTTTAAAATCTATTAAAGTTGTTAAGACTTGTTGTAATTTTTCTTTTATCTTCTGTAGCTAGGTGCCCGATGTATTTTCAAGCCAAATGCCATGTAATACGACACTGCTTTGACTATAAAAAAATGTGTCATTAGCATATTGTAAGATTAATTGTTGAAAATCCAAACTTAAAAGTCTCACTCTTCATATCAATCCTTGTTGTTGAGCTTGGCAGATAAAAGCATTGAGAGCCTTTCTCATAATCAAAAATAAATAAGAAGCAATAAAACATCCTCGACATATTCTTCTACTAATTCAAAAAGGTGGAGTAGGTCATCTATTTACATTTACTATTTCTTCAACTCTATTAAGAGTTTATTGTATCATAGAGATAAATTCTTAAAAGAAGTCCATCTTTATTACGACATTGACTAAGAAGTACCAATTTACTTAATCATACATATTAAAAAAGTTCAATTTTGAAAATATGGTTTCTTGCTTGAATTTCTTGGTCTATATAAGAATCTCATGTGAAAATAAGGAATTATTTAGAATAAAATTGTTTAAAATAAATGCACTCTAATCATAACTGAAAATCCTTCTTTAATGGTTTTTGAAGCATTTTTGAAATACGTTTCTATAGATCTTGTATACTATATCTAATAGAATAATTGATTACCAATTTTTTTTAAAAAATCATGTTACTTCTCTTATGTATCAAGGACAAGAATTCAATGAAAGAAAATAAATAAGTGAGATTTTAATAAAGAAATATGACAAAATAAAATTAAAAAAGTATGTATATTAAAAAAATAAAATAAAATAAAATAAAACTAGACTAAAAACTGAAAGGAGTTGATAAGAGTGAAGAAAGATTCACTCTTGCTTCTATATATACTTTCTATCTAGGATCTATGTAGTGATGTTTTATAGGACCTCAAAAAACATATTGACTTTGGATGACACATATTTTAACTTACAAGGCAAGTTTTTTACATGTGTGGTATATATTTAGCTTATTCAGCAAGCTACTAATACATATGGTATATGGTTAGCTTATTGACCAAGTTTCTAATCTATTAATCAACTACAAATACATATAAAGTCAAAATAGCATCTAAATAGCTTCTAAGAAGCTTCTCTAAAAGATATCATGAAATTAATCTATTTTTTCGTACTTCTACATATTCATATTACCTAAGTAATAATTATAGTGGATATATATCCGTGACATTAATCCTCCTTTTAGAGACAAGTTCTATGAGGAGCGATGATCACATGTTGAAGAAGTCTAAGATGTGACAAATTATATTTGCCATGTACTTTGATCTTTATTCCCTTCAAAGGTATTTGATAGGTCCTCTTAGCTATTGATAATTTTCTATTCCAAGGTGGGAAGACCACCTTGTTATTTGATCATTGTTGAAACCTTTGTAACTTCTTTCAAACAAAATATTTGTAATACCATCAAGAATTATTTCTACTTCCAAAAAAATCACCAAATATTAAGAATCTCTTTCCAAGTT